AGTTTTATTCTTTTTTCTCACCTCTCTCTTTCTTGCTGAACTAAAAACAGCACAAATTTTTGCTTTGAATCACCACTAAAGAAAATGAAATTAAAATTTCAGGGACTGTAACAGAATTGAAAGTTGCTCTTCAGTGAGCTCCTGGGGATTGATTAAAGTCCTCTGAGGACATGGAAACATGACTACAGACACAAATGCGCTTTACTGATGAACGAAAGGACAATTGTTCACTGTGGCATTAGCTACAGTCACAGTAATTCTGTGGTAACAGCAGTATGGGGCATAATGCAGAAATAGTGTAATAAGAAATGTAGAAGTACTCATGGCTTGGTTAAAATAAGTATTTTCCACATCCTGAATAAAATCAAATATAACTGAACATGAGCCAGCACTGTGCAGAGATGGCCAAGAAGGCCAACAGCATCCTGGCTTATATCAAAAATAAGTGTGGCCAGCACGAGTAGGGAGGTGATCGTGCCCCTCTACTTGGCACTGGTGAGGCCACATCTCAAATACTGGGTGCAGTTTTGGGCCCCTCACTACAAGAAGGACATTGAGGTGATGGAGCGTGTCCAGAGAAGGGCAACGAAGCTGGTGAAGGGTCTGGAGAAAGGGTCTTATGAGGAGCAGGTGAGGGAACTGGGGCTGTTTAGCGTGGTGAAGAGGAGGCTGAGGGGAGACCTTATCACTCTCTACAACAACCTGAAAGGACGTTGTAGTTAGGCAGGGGTTGGTCTCTTCTCCCAAGTAACCAGCAATAGGACAAGAGGAAATAGCCTCAAGTTGCAGCAGGGGAGGTTTAGGTTGGATAGTAGGAACCCTGAAGAGGTTTTTTTTCTGAAAAGTCTTTCTTTACTGAAAGAGTGGTCAGATATTGGAACAGGCTGCCCAGGGAAGTGGCTGAGTCACCATCCCTGGAGGTGTTTTAAAAACGTGTATGTGTGGCACTTCGGGACATGGTTTAGTGGGCATGGTGGTGTTGGGTTGATGGTTGAACTTGATCTTAGAGGTCTTTTCCAACCTAATGATTCTGTGATTCCATGGTTGCATGGTAGTCAAAATTTCAAACAGATACAGATACATAATTATGTATCTATTGATGACAGAAGGTAAAAACTCTTACGAGGATGTTGCAATCTCCCTAAAACATACAAGTGTTCAAAACCCTAGAAGTCCAGTACAGGCAAGACACTTGAAAAATACATTGGAAAGTAATTATGCAAACTGGAATCTGCTTTTAAGATCACTGAAAAAACTCCAGTTCTGCTCCTGGGTTATCATAGAGAGCACAGTCAAAACCAAGAGATAGTACGATACTGAAACACTAGACATTTTGCTATGAAAGCAGAAAAGCCAAAAAGGGGAGACTAAACTGAATACTTTTGGGGAGGTTACACACACATGAAAGAACCAACTTTTACTTTCCATACTGAACTGCTGCTTCCTTATGCGAGATAAAAATGAGGCCATTGCAACAGGACAAACACCAACACAATCCTGTAGGCACAGCAACAGCACTGCCATATTCTAAGAAGTGCAATTTCCAGTGGATCTCCTCATTTCCCAGATTTTGAATCAGAATAGATACTACAGGGCAAAGATTAAGGAAGCACTACAGAAATTAGGGAAGTTTGGAAATCACCTCATGTATTTTGCAGCTCCAAGGAAAGAGGACTATAGATTTAAACCACTTCTGGCAGATATTACAATACATTCCCAAGGACCGAGATTCCCCAGTCTTCCTTGGCAATCTAGTCCACTGCTATCTATACTTTTTGATGAAATGCCTTCCCCTCACATATTGCTGTAATTTAAGCCCGATCTTTTTGCCCTTTCAACGGCCCAGAAGGATCAGTCTATCCCTTCTCAATGCAGCTATCTCTTTAAACATTATCGGTTCTTACGCAACCCCTCTTGTGCCTACTCTAGACCAAAAAAATCTTCATTCTTTCTATCTGGCCTCATTAGTTATGTTTTCCAGAACTCTATTCACTCTTTTTGTTCTCTTTTGGGCTCTCAAACCAACAAAATACACATACAAATGAAAGGTTAGGAATGTCTAAACCTCAGATAAAAGCAGATTTAACTAATTCTGTTTAAACCACCACCATTCTAACATCTCAGTTTCTATATAGTCATTTCACTGGAAGATAGGCAAGCTGTTTACAAGGGAGGCAAGACATACACTCATTGTTATAGGCAGGAAAAATGAGGCACAGCTAAGTGACTCACATGAGGGATGTCTACCCCAGACACAAATGGAAACCTGTCAAGTTGCTAACTGAGGTGCTCTGTAACCTCACCCCATGTCACAACACATGACCTGAAGCCAGTATGCCAAAACAGTTATGACTGCTGAGATTTAACTAAAGTACATGTTATATTTTTATAATTTATTTTTATATTTATAATTTCTTTCTGTCTTTCTGTTTTAAATGTCAGAGTCCATCCATTGATTCCTCTGAGGTATCAGACCTATATTTTGGGATTACACTCCACTGCTGCACCTGCTTGTCAGTACCTTATTGATCAATTTGTGGCTAAACATTTTTTTCACGGACTATCCCACTCTTGTTCTAACTTTTCTGCCATGTAAACCTTCTCCTAAACTTTGTTTCTGAAAGCAGGCCAAGTCCTGTAGTTCTTCTCAAGTTAAACTATAAAACTATTATTTTTGCATTTTTTCCATGTCACAGTATGACTGATACTTTTATCCTGATGAACAGCCCCTTAAATAATCCATAAAACCTGTACCTGATGATCTTAATCCCTCACTTGTATGTAATCTCCTCTAGGCAAATCTTAATAAGCCCTAATAGCTTTCTAAGCTTACAGCTTACTAGTGAAGCTGGATGAATGTCAGGTTTTATGATATTTTACCATAACTTCAGCAAAGCTTAAGCTGCCAGAAACATTATGGATACCATATGAATCCACAGGCAAAGACAGTGACCAATATCTTTTAAGAACACAAAATAAAAAGGCAGGAGCAGCAGTGCTTCCCACCTTGTCTGCCTTGCTCTATCAAAAAGAGCAGATGAAAAGACTCCATTTTGCAGCATAACCTATGCTTTTACATAAAAAAGAAACATGAACCCTGATGGTTTACAGGCAAGTACTACCAAATGAGAGGCTGCTGTGAAGGTAATGTCTCATTTTCATTTCAGTTGAGTATTAACAGCAGACTATTTATGATCTCTTTCACTGTTGAACAGCAAACATTTGTCTATTGAACCTGTGTTTCCAGTGTACCTTATTTATCCACTCATCATTCAGGCAGATGGAAAAGACATTTCCCTATCTACTGGAAGTTTTAAAGATTTCAAATCTTTTCCAGTCGAAGCAAGAAAGAAAAAGCCTGCAGGGGCATGCACTTGAGATGTGAAAGAGTCAGGCTCAGGTCTCTGCTCTGATTTCCATCAGAGACCTGGTTCTGAGTCTCCTACATGCCAACCCAGTGCCTCAGAAAAGAGCACAGGCAGTAACTATAATAGAGGAGGCCGAATTAGTCGGAACACTTTGGCTGCTTTTACCAATCCAATGGCATTAATCACTTAATTGCTGAAGTAGTTAGCCAGGAGCATATATGATTTTTTAGAAGTGCATCTTCGAGTCTGGCATAGGGCTTTTGACCCATCTACTTGTTCAGTACCAGCACAGGTAGCAATGGTATGCTGCGATTAGCTGAATGCTCAGGTGAGCTTGTAGCTGGCTTTCTCTGCCCTCACAGCAAACTGGCTAGGACCTTCTGGCTCATGCGACTTAGTCTTGCCGTGTTGCCTGCACTTTCAATAACTAAACTTTTATCAAGAGGAATTCGCAAAGACTAACGGTCTTTGGGTCTTACTGTTCTAGTCACCAGGTAACAGCCCACAGCAGCTGTAAATTAGAGCAGGTTTTGCTGATTTACTTTATGCTGAGAATAAAATATAGAATCACATATAGCCTAGGAAAACAGGGAGACAAAGGTCACCAGCCAACAGAGCCAGGGTTGAGAGTCAGCTCCTAAACACATTTCCAGCTACACAATTTAATGGAAATGGAAAACACCTATTAAAGTGACATGAAGCTGGAAACTGCTACTGCACAGCTACTGCACTGTTTTTTCTCTAAATAAAAAGTGCAGGTTTAGGAAAAAACCTTCACTTTTTATTTAAAGAAAAAACAATATCAAAGCAATTAGAAACTCTTTCTATACATAAACCATCCTTTTTCCAATGGAAGTCTGTAACAGCAAAACTACCCACCTGATACGGAATTAGCTGAGCACTACAAGCTGCTCCAAAATTTTCATATGCTCCAGAATAAACTCCAGAGTTTTTTTCCAGTAAAGCAGCTGGAGCTCCTAAAATATTTTGCACTCTAGTGGTTAGGAAAAGACATTTAGTAAATGAAATCTCTCACTCATATGTTTAAAGAAAACAGTCAGAATGTGTTACATTATTCTGTACTCAAGCGTCACTACAGACCAAGATGACATTAAGTTTAAACTGATTGTTCGTTACAGTTTATTGTTAGCTTACGTACATATAGCTTGCTGGGGAATGTTTCTATTATTTGAATCATAAAAAATACTAATCACACTACAGTTATTTTACAGCTTTGAACAAGAGTGAAGGGTTACTAAACACATGATCTACAGGCACAAACAGCACTGTGGAAAATGGAAGAACTGTGTAATTACTCGCAGTATTCCAACAACCAGAAGAAATTCAAAAGAGAGGCAAAAGCAAAGGAAGGGCAAAATGAAAGAATTCAAAGAACAAAGTCAAAGATCAAAAAAAATAACAGCAAAATGATAAAAAACAACTAAAAAGAAAATTCAGCAGTAGCAGAAAATATGACCCAACTGCTCAATCACAACTAAAAATTATAATGCATCACTTTCATCAAAATATGATATTATACACAACTCAGTCATACGCAAGCATAATCCTTAGTCACCAAAACGCTGGCTCCTAGGCCATTTATTTAAGCAAGAAGATAATTTGCTGCCTTACCTGCTTGCTGCATGCATATAATATATGTGGTAAACAAGCAGAGACAGTGCTGCAGCTTCCATTTCCAGTGATAGCACCACATTTCACTTACATGAAGCATCCTGTGGAAAAAAGCAAGCAAGAATTCAGAGGGCTTTACACAAGCCAGGAAAATGAGAAAATACTGTTGCTAGTCAAACTAATAAATAAAGTAGCACTTGAAAATTATGGATGGCCCTAGTGTTACTTAAACACAGACAGAAGTCTCTACACTTCTTTTATGGTCAGAAACGATGTTGTCTGATTCTTAGCAGACAACAAAGCAGAAGATTGGTGAGTGCTGGGCTTCTAAGCAGATAGATGTGGGTGGTATTTCAGTAAAAGAAACAAGCAGTCCTTCAGCGACAGTCTGAAAGAGTTAAGGTGTAGGGTTTTTTTGGAGATTGCAAAGTTCTAATTTACCTATTTACATACATAAATACATTTATGCCATTTAAATATATATATATATGAAAGATACATACACGTTTGTTATTAACTGTGTAAAGATTGTAGGTGAGAATTTGCATCTGTCCTTAACCAGCCTTTCCATATTTTTCAGTGCTAATATTTTGATAGCTACAAACTTTTCTGCTGACAACTTTAATGAAAATCCTGAAACCTTCCTTGCCAAAATCCAGGGGCTCATCTGTGCTGCCACTGAAGTCAGGGACATCTTTATTATTTATTAAAACAAATGCAAGTATATAAAAATCTTTATAAATTATAGCTCAAAGTTAACGGTTCCTTTGCCTTGAAGCATGCAGGACATCTAATGGCTAAACCAAAATGTTTCCTCCATAGTGGGCAGAAGGGGAAGCGAAAAAGGCTCTTAATAAATTTGGTCAGACTTTTAACCATGTATCCAAAATGAATGGTGCTCCATTACATTCCTGTCTCATTTTATTCAACAAGTTAGCAAGAAGCAAAATCAAGCAACAAGTAATGAAACACAATACATTATTTTGACCAACTCCTTTCCCTCCTATTTGGCAATGATAACTGGCTCTTGTTCAGTAAGATATTATCTATTTATACTGGGAGAAAATATCTACCAGAATCCCCAAAATATTTCACAAGTCTATTCCCAGCAACAGTATGTGAAGAGGAACCACAAATGAATAGACATGAAGAAACACCGATGAACCAAAATGTCTTCCAGGTTAGTGCATATTAAATGCAGAAAAAAGAAAGGTATTTGGAATGGCCACCAGTATATTTTTATCAGGACAGAAATGTGAAAGAGGTAAGTGAAAGAAAGTACAGAGTTCATACTCAGTAACAAGAAAAATTAATTTTCTTAAACTTGGGAAAATACTCTTCCTTCTGCTCCACAGATATTGCTTTGAACCTGCCAGTGAAACCTGGAGGCAAATCACAGAATCACAGCATGGCAGGGGGTGGAAGGGACCTCTGGAGATCACCTAGTCCAACCCCCCTGCTAAAGCAGGTTCACCCACAGCAGGTCACACAGGACTGCATCCAGGCGGGTTTTGAATATCTCCAGGGAAGGAGACTCCACAGCCTCCCTGGGCAGCCTGTTCCAGGGCTCTCAGTATCAGCTTCTGTTTCTTCCCAAAGTGCAGTTCTGTAATGTAGACAAGCCAAACTTAATGCAGCAAGATAAACCATTGTAAAGGAACAACTAATGTTTCAGTTTTAAAAGTAGTAACTCATCAAACCACTCCTGTGGGCTAGACGCCAATGGGCCCAGGTAAACGGCACTTCAAGAGATTGCTGCAACCAATTAGGTTTCCCTTCAGTGCAGTGTTACACAGCACAAGTATCTGATTACAAAAGAAGTCCAGTTCTTTGTGGGTAGTTGTATCAAACTAGGAATTTGAAGCCGATTTATTTTTCTGAGATACTGTAAAGTCAAACTTAACAAGTGTTGAAGACAAGCACAGAAAACACTGTGCTATGAAATACAAGAATCTCTTTGATGAAGCCAGACACACAAAATAACCAATTATCAAACAATAGAATGATTGTCCTTCAACTTAATGACCCAAAAATCCCTATTAAAATCTCAGACAACAGAATGCTGAGATTTGGGAACAGTTACTGTTCAATGTATATAATTCAAAAATCCACAATACCCTGGATATTAATCTAGAAAATTGACTTTGAACAGAAGTCCTTTTAAAACATGAAAACACTTATATGCACATGCAAACACATATAGCATGCATATACTCTCACAGAGTGGTGAAATAGAAATGTAGAAGATAATATCATGACATACCAGAGACACAGAAGAATATTACTGTTTCTCTGGAAGAAATAGTTTGCAGCTACTGATGAGATACATGCCAGCCTGCTGCATAACCTACTAATGCAAACCTATAGAAGTGGTTGCATTACTGGTTTTTGTTTGTTGGTTTGTTTTGAGCAGCACTGTAAAGTTATCAGACTAGAAAATAGTAGCAAACAATTATTTATTAATTCAGAAGAAATCTGTGTTGGTTTTAATCATATTGATACATTTTCTGTGTGTTACAGCAATCATCACTTTTGATGTCTATGTGAACTCAGCTAAGTTTTTGCTCATTGAATAGCTGGAGAATCCAAGACACAACTTTCGAAATACTCAAGGAAAATGACATGAGAAGATTCTGCTGCCTAGGTCTGGAGTGAATCTCTCTAGTCACATTACCTTTAGTGCCTTTCTTAAAGAACCTGAGATTCTGCATTAGTCTGAGAGAGCTATGTAATTTGGCCAATTTCTATTTGTTAATGTTTACTTGCATTGCGGTAATGCTTACAAGCCAGTACTCCACAGTGTTAGTTTACAGTCTGTTTCCTCATCCTCACTCTTGTAAAAAGCACAAATTAAGAAAGATTTCAAGGACCTGGATAATCAACAACAGAGCAAAGCATAAATAAGAGCTAACAAGGCAGAAAGGAACAACTATAAAGCTTCTTCCCCAGAGAAAAATGCTAGCTAATTATACAGTCACTATTAAAAAACCATACAATTCTCCACCAAAATAAACAAACACTTAAAAAGTAGCAGACCTGTCTCCTCCACTTACATTCTCTACTGCTGAAGGACAAAACAATTTTCTTTACACCACATCATCTCAGTTGACAAGAAAGAAAGGTTTATCAAACTCAAACAAGAATGACCACAGAAGAAGCATGCTACCAAAACACTCCACCAATGTGGGCATCATGAGTCAGATCTGTTTCTTTTGGAGACGACTTTCGAAAATCTATGTTACAAAGCATAACCTCTAACTGAGTGCCATAAATGAATGAGGAAATCAGTTATTTACATGCTCTTGAGAGCTTGCATAGAAAAAAAAGCCAAAATTCAGAAACCTGACTGCTTACAGCCTTACACTGTGACATGTGTAACACCCCTGTTAACACACAAAGTTTTCAGGGATGGAAGTCAGCCAATGCATTGCCAACAAAAAGACTTCTTCCATAACAAAATCCATCCCTGATATTTTTCTAATGTGACATCCCAACTGGCAGACAATTATGAAAAGGAGGCAGAGTAACTGGTAAATACTTCCAGGCATTAAAAAAAACCCCAACCACTCAGTTGCAGATATTATTTACCTGTTAATACCCACTACTATCTTTATTTTAAGGTTAATTTTCTTGTTTATTAGTGTAATTAACATATAGAACTGAATCCAAACAGCATATGAATAATTCAACAGAAAAAAAAATCAGCAAACAGTTCTGGGCTAGTTTATAGCTTATCAAGGGATGATATGGTCCCCTGCTACAACAGTACTGATTTGATGGCCCAACAGACCCCTTTGGTCTTGTTTTCCTATTTTAAATGGCATTAAAAGTATGTGTTCTGTTATTTAATACTCACCAATAGCACAGAAAATGGGTATCAGCACAGCAATGCACTAAAACATACGAAGAGTTTAAATAAGCAAAGCAGTCCATAACAAAGATCTCAGGTCATATATAGGTTATTTCAGTCTTTAACCCTGGATACATTAAAATTGCTGAACACTGTTCATAGTGCGTTTTCTTTATTTTGTTTCAATTTAAATGAAGAAGTCCTGTTCTGTCCCCAGCTGGTAACGTGCTAGCAGCTCTGAACAAATCATTGTAGATTGTCAGACACAGAACCAAATCAACATTTTACCCAACGTATTTGGGGGCTATTAGGACACCTACGGTCAGAGTACATCCATCACAACATCAATCCCTCTTAATGCTTCACATCCCACCCCCCTCCACTCAAAAAAAAAAAAGTAGAAAAATTACAAAGTGACCTTCTGTGGAATCTGATAGAACTACTAATTTTTCTACGGACTTGCATTATTCCACTGTAGACACTGTGTGACATGACCAGCTATGCAGTCTAGCTACCAAGTCAATAGAGTCCAGTCCACAGCTACTTTCAATTCCTATAACATAGGGAGACAATGAGCTTATTCACAATTCATTCCAGAAGAGCAAAATAGACATGTAATATAAATGGATGGTAACTTGACATAGTGGGAGTCTTGCTACATCTAACTACTAAACCTTTTTACTCTACATGCCAGCAGCCAGCTAACGTAACATCATCACAATTCAGGTGCATACAGCTCTGCAAGAAAATATACACAAAATGTGAATAATCCTGGAGCGCTTCATTTGGTTATTGTATGGTCTCAAAACATGTAATATATATTTGAATACACCATCTTCCTTGTTCAAATCTTCAGCAAAGTTCCCTGGAGTAGGATGTGAATTCTGCCTCAGGCAGACTGACATGACTTTCTTTGGTCTTTGACACGTCTAAAGCTATTAAGAAAAAATGTTGCTGACACGTTAAAATTAAAAGAAAGATAACATCAATTTCACAATTTTTTTTCTCATCTAGGTTGTAAACAAAAAGCTTTTAAGCTTAATCACTCTTTAATGGAACTACAAGTGAAAGGTGATTACAACTCACAGTTTAGTTCCTGCAGGTTAACAGAAGAGTCAATTTTAACTTTGAAATCCTTGCTTTAAGCTGTACTACACGAATGTCTTGAACTATTAATTACATAATGCCACTTGAAACTTTCATTTTGTTAAGCATTACTCATTCCTAATTATTCTTACAGTCAACCTTGAAAAC